AAGGTTATGTATAAAAATTGTTTTTAGTATGTATGGTTATCACCATAGCAACATTAACTTTTAAACACATACATTAGTTTTAGATAGGACAAAATGAATTTTTGTTAATTATTCAATAACTATAAGAAATATACCCCACAAACTATATATATTTGTTATCAGAAGAAAATAACAAATTATTTTAAGTCATAGCCAACTATGGTTTCCATTTAAAAAAATAAAGTTACGTCTAAAATCTCGAAAATAAAAGATGGGAAAAAAATTCTATCTACGCCACTGAATTCTTCTTAAAAAGTTGCCCATATAATGTTTTATTTATAATACTCCATCTTTGATAATAAGTGAGATATTCGCGATTGTCGTTTTCGCAAAATCTTCAGTTTTTGCCGATAGGGCAAAATAAAAGTTATAGCAAACTTTATTCTTAACAATATTGGTCTTTTACACTTTTACTCTCAGATGCATAAATTTCGAGAAAAAATCGAAAAGGTGAAAATTAGCTGAAATCGTCGTTTTACATATTGTTTTTGGTACAGCATGGGATTCGTAACGTTTTAGAAAAAAAGCTTTAGTATAAAAGTTGTAGCTAACCGTATTCTTAACAATATTGCTCTTTTACACTTTTGCTCTCAGATGCATAAATATGGAGAAAACCAGGATTTTGTACCGCAACTCCGTAAATGTATCGTAGATAGAATTTCGCAATAATGCAATGTTTTATTTGAAAATCCTTGATTATATCTTCTTCAAACGAATAAAAAGTTATAAACAATATATAACTTTGTGAATCATCTTCATAAAAATAGATGCCATCTTTGTTCTTGTGTTATACAGGATGTTTTAAATGTAAAAATGACATTGAATAAGTCATGGTCAATTGAAAGTAAAATTATTATTATGTTTTTTTTTATAATTTATAATAATGATAAATAAAGAAATCTTAAATAACCGGAACAAAATAATTTTTTAATCTTGTTTAATTTAATAAAATATATTGAAAATTTCCTGGTAATAATAAGACATTTTTTAAACATCTCAAGACAATTATTAATTGCACATTCAAAGCGAGTTAATTAACCTTCGCGTGGTGTAAAGAACAATACATAGGAAATTATTAATTAACTTCCGTTCTTGTTTTCCAATTTAAACATTAAAATTAATATATTTATGAATAATAAATATAAAGTTTTATTGACACGGTAATAAGAGTTTTACAAGATGAAATTATTTGCAATTTGATTTCATACCATAGTTTAACTCGTCTTCAATATTGAAATGTCAAGTTTATGAAATTTTACCCGATTTAATCTGTTGGCATTTGAATGGTAATCGTGACGCCTTCAGGACTCGAATTANTAATTTCCAGCTATTTCTCTTGGTCACTTTGCTTATAAGGATTTTTTTCCCAAACCTCTAGGCCTTACCGTTCTAGAGATACAGCCGCTCCGTACGCTTAACGGGACAGCCTGTATACCCGTATAAATACCCATTTTAGAAATACCTACCCGCCGGGTATTTACCCAGCGCCCATCACTGACCATGACCCATGACAAGAAAAAATTAATTTGGTTAATCTAAGAACGGCATATCAGAAAAAAAAATTTAAAATAAAAGTTATAGCAAACTTTATTATTTATTAGATGATATTAGATGAGATTTATTTATTATTTATATAGATGCATAAATTTGGAGAAAAATTCGAAAAGGTGAAAATTAGCTGAAATCGTCGTTTTACATATTGTTTTTGGTACAGCATGGGATCCGTAACGTTTTAGAAAAAAAGCTTTAGTATAAAAGTTGTAGCTAACCGTATTCTTAACAATATTGCTCTTTTACACTTTTGCTCTCAGATGCATAAATATCGNAGGTGAAAATTAGCTGAAATCGTCGTTTTACATATTGTTTTTGGTACAGCATGGGATCCGTAACGTTTTAGAAAAAAAGCTTTAGTATAAAAGTTGTAGCTAACCGTATTCTTAACAATATTGCTCTTTTACACTTTTGCTCTCAGATGCATAAATATGGAGAAAACCAGGATTTTGTACCGCAACTCCGTAAATGTATCGTAGATAGAATTTCGCAATAATGCAATGTTTTATTTGAAAATCCTTGATTATATCTTCTTCAAACGAATAAAAAGTTATAAACAATATATAACTTTGTGAATCATCTTCATAAAAATAGATGCCATCTTTGTTCTTGTGTTATACAGGATGTTTTAAATGTAAAAATGACATTGAATAAGTCATGGTCAATTGAAAGTAAAATTATTATTATGTTTTTTTTTTATAATTTATAATAATGATAAATAAAGAAATCTTAAATAACCGGAACAAAATAATTTTTTAATCTTGTTTAATTTAATAAAATATATTGAAATTTTCCTGGTAATAATAAGACATTTTTTAAACATCTCAAGACAATTATTAATTGCACATTCAAAGCGAGTTAATTAACCTTCGCGTGGTGTAAAGAACAATACATAGGAAATTATTAATTAACTTCCGTTCTTGTTTTCCAATTTAAACATTAAAATTAATACATTTATGAATAATAAATATAAAGTTTTATTGACACGGTAATAAGAGTTTTACAAGATGAAATTATTTGCAATTTGATTTCATACCATAGAGTTTAACTCGTCTTCGATATTGAAATGTCAAGTTTATGAAATTTTACCCGATTTAATCTGTTGGCATTTGAATGGTAATCGTGACGCCTTCAGGACTCGAATTAGAAATTAGAAGAAGCATCTTTGGGGCGCGGACAATTTTTTTAATCATCTAATTTCGATTACTTGCCCGACACGATTCATAAATTAAATATGAAACACAAAAATAATCGAACAAATTCTTTCAGATATACCTTACAAAAACTGTTACATGACTCTTGTATAAATGAGGATACGTTGAATTATTTATTATAGAAAGTTTATTTTCGGCAACGCGGCGAAAATTGCATCAAGTTCCAAGAACTGTATTCAAGTACAATTTATTATTTACAGTGTCACTGACAAGATGATATTCGAACAATTTCATTCGTATCGATTCGTTACGAACAATTTCACTCCAATTACGCAATATTTTTTTTTTCGAGTCATTCAATTGATGCGGATTAATTTCAATCACAACAATTTCGAGTTGAGTATATTTCCAGAGAGATAGTCAACGCTATTTAGACCTATCTAATAATTGAAAAGTAATGAGTAATTCATTCCAAACCATTTGGGGACCTCATGATGTGTAATACCATCTTATCAATTTTACTTTCACTACATCCTGTTCCGCAAGGTAATAACGATTATGGTATATGGTGATTCTTTAGGTATCATTGTTATTTATTATGAATGAAACGTAATCAATATTTGGAATAATTAAAGAATAAACTGTTCTCTAATTAATTATAGTCGATTTAGTTTAAATTAAAAATTAATTAATAGCACGAGCGTTCACACGTGCATAAACAACGAGCCGAAGACGGTGTCATTCCGAGGGCTGTATAAACTTAGCGGGAGAGAATTGAAATCGAGCATTTTGTGATTTCGATAGAAGACACTATGACGAATCGAGAGACGTATAGATTTTGATCATCGGGTACATCGTTTACGAGTTATCACCACTTAAAGAAGGTCAATTTTGTGTTATTTTCGTGTATCTTCGCATTATTTTGACGTTTTAGCGAAATTCGAAAGAGTTTTCAAATCGGGCATTTCCACTTTCGTATTGGCCAAAGATTAAGCTTTCGAATGAGACATTGTTTATCGAAATCGGTTCACTGGTTCTCATGTTATAATTAAAATACTATACATGTAAAATTCTGTTTAATTGGGGGCTAACTTCACATAGGTGTCATTATGAATAATTATGTTGTAATCTCAACAAGTTTAGTGAAAATAACTTTTTATTTAGTGCGTGGGTATAAATTAAACAATTTGAGGTTAGGATTTAATACGAGAAAATACATGGTTAACATTGCTTGTGTTGTCAGTTGTAATTGTCATTTGGTTAAATACACAGTTTGTTGCTATCGTCACACGGGCTATTTATTTATTTTTATTTTGTAACCATGTCTTTTTTAATAACTATTTTAATTTAACTAAACTACTATTAAATAAGCTACTATACTTATTTATCATTTATATTTACAACATAAAGATTGCAAAGAGCTTTCAGTCATTTGACAGATCAATTGATACACAATCCATTAACACAAAGTCTATTAATACACATTTGGTAGAAACAATTCTATCTAACGCCATTTAATTGTCGTTCTGCATCGATAGCCTAAGAAACAAGGTTTTCATCCGAAAATATGTTGTAATCTCAACAAGTTTAGTGAAAATAACTTTTTATTTTGTGCGTGGGTATAAATTAAACAATTTCAGGTTAGAATTTAATACGAAAATGCAATTTTAACATTGCTTTTAACTTCCAAAAAGAAACGTCAAATCGCAACTTTAAAGTGATTTTTCGGTAAGTACTACACTTTTCCGCACTTTTTTTTTATCATTAACACATCTTTTGAGTCATTTCCTACCGATTAAAAAAAAATCATCGATTTTTGAGAGGGACAGCTAATCTTAATATATTCCCAATATTTTGAATCAAATTATCTTGTGACAAAATTGTCATAATTGTTAAAATCTAAAAATAATCTCGAAACTATTCCAAAAGAATCAATAAAATGGCATCACGCCCTATAAAATACATCTCGCAATCATCGATTTCTTTTGCATCCGCTTTATCGGACAAAGTAAAAAGCACGTTTTCCATACATTTACATTTAAAAGCATATAGAAGATTATTTTACCTTGTTGCTGAACCAGTTTGGTACATCAGTATCCTTTTGTTTAATTATCTGGCCATTATTGCTATAATTTTCGCCTCATTAAATGGAAAGTGTATTCATGACGAAGATTATAGAAAATACAATATTAATCGTAAGAAGTATTTTTTATGTATTAAAATATAAATTTAAAACAATTTTTATTGTAGTTGTTATGTATATTTTGGATTTAGTTTATTTGTTGGATATGATATTGGTGATTGGTTGTAAACTTTTACCAAGTTTTGACTTAATTGATGTCGATGTTGTTCTTCGTCCTTATTACATAATCAGTTTGGAATTAATTTCTATAATACCTGTTGAATTTTGTATACCAACAAGTTCAACATTGGGAGCAAGGGTGTTTTGCCTTGTAAAATTAGTGAAAGTTTTAAGGTTTGCAAGAATTTTACATTTCTTTGTAACCCATCGAAATTTAATTGGCAGTAATCTTTTTACGCGGATTATCGCTTTGATAGCAATGGAAATGGTTGTTATAATGCTAATGTACACGGTTTATTGTAATATAAATTGTGCAACCGGATTTTGCGAAGACAATAATTGTAATTCTCCAAGAATTATTGTTTTAATGAGCTCCGTTGTGATGTCGTCTGGTCTTTCAAATTTCGCTTACCATTTCAGTTGGAGTTTAATAAGCATTTTTGGCATGTTAATAAGTTATTATTTGATTTTTATTTTAACATTAAGCGAGATTGCTTTTGAATTTTTTCAAAAACACATTCAAGGCGTTTCTTTCGCAAACACTTACAATAACGTTATTGTTAAACAAAAAAAATGGAAATCTCCGAGACATTTGCAACAAGCGACTCGAGTGTACTTTAGAAATGTTTGGAAGGATCGTCGGGGTTATCCCGAAACGAATTTTGCGGATGAAAATTTACCTTATTCGTTTAAAAGTGAGATGATGATTGATGTTTCTTGGCTCGCATTTCAACATTCGCATCTTTTCAATAAACAACCTTTACCGTTTTTAAGGGAAATTTCGAAATATATTAAACAAGAATTTAAATTACCCGGTGAAATGATTTATAAACGAGGTCAATGGAAAGATAAAATGATTTACATCGTTTCAGGAACTCTTCAATTATTATCGGAGGAAGATGGAGAATCGCCGATTTTATCATTAACCAGTGGTTCTTGTTTTGGAGATTCTTGCATGATTCGAATGTATCCATCAAGAAATAATGTTCGTTGTAAAGGATTCGTTGAACTTTATACATTAAAAACGTGTGATCTTATTCGGTTGTATAAAAAATTTTCTGAAGATCTTTCAGTTTGTAAAATTGATATCAAATGGAGATACAAGCAGGCAATGAATTTACACGGAATGGTTTTGGAAAGTAAACGGAGAATGCATGGAACTCCGCGACATTTAGACATTTACAATTTGTTGTGGACGAAGAATACTTTACACAAACACATGTCCAAAACTAGAGAATCAATGCGAAGACATCGCTTCCAAAATATTTATTTAATAAACGAAACGAATCCGCGCGATTTTAAACAGATGCATTTCACCGCTTACTTTTTGGACACCCTGGCGATTACTGAAAGATTAGAAATTGAAACCGATACGGTTTTTTTGAAACATTCGTGTCCGTGTATTTTACAACCGGATTCTGTCATCGTTTATTTTTGGGAGTTTTTTGTTATCGTCGTTACCCTTTTTGTGGCATTTTTAATACCTCAGAAAGCTTTTATAAGAAACGTTGATGTTAGCTGGTTACCGCTCATTATGTTTATATGCACTTTTATTTTTTGTTTTGATATTTATGTGCAGTTTTCTATTGGAATTATTTCGAAGGATGGCACAAAAGGTAAAGCAATTAAACAGTTTCATAATACTACTCAATTACATTAACAATTAAACATTTTAATAATACTCAGAACAATAATACATCTCAGCACGTATTACAAAATTAGTTACCCGTGTGAAGTTACCCATAAATTCCATCCATAAAAAAAACTTTTTTGTTTGTGTATCGATTTTAATGATTAATAGCTCATTAGGAAGATCTCGTAGAGTAGAGCCTAACACAGTTTTGGCGGCGCAGATTTTGGGCGGGAACACCTTAAATTCCGCGAAAACAGTGAATTATAAACTGACCGGCAAAGAAAACCGGCCACTATAAATTTGCCGCAACTTCAAAGCTGGCTTTCTCGCGAAACGCGCATTCGATTTTGATGATTCTTTTTTTGATGGAAAAATTGATTCTTCTGTAATAATCCTGCGATAGAAATTTTCGTTCAGATTTTAATTTGGGCATATACGGGGTAAGAAAAATGAGAAAAACTTTTATTCTCGAAATTTGTAACTCCCTGTGTGGTGCAGCTGCTACAGCAGAGGGTATTACCTGGAATCAAACAGTAGCCCAATCCTTTCTGAGCATTTTCTTTTTTTATTCACTCTATTATCTCTGTTACTAACGAAGATGCAGTATTTTAAAGCGATCGCCTGTGAAAACAAGATCAGTGACAATAGTAGCTGATGACCGTTTTATTGTTCTAAGCAATCGTAGAACGACAGCTGTAGAGCCTCGGCATCGTCTTCAAATGGTGCGTGTTGTTGATGTCAGTGAGAGAACCATTCGCTGAAAACTCGCTAGAACTGGTCTGGATGCAAGAAGGCTGCCAAAGGACCGAGGCTGCTTCCTAGATATCGACGTGCGCGTCTTCAATCTGCGCGCTTACATGTGAATTGGGAGATGGAGCAATGGAGGAATGAGTCCGTCCTTTTTACGGATGAGTAGTGGTTTTGTCTACTATCACCCGATAGTCAGGAGCGAATATGAAGACGTTGAAATGAAAGATTTGTGGACTATGTCTGGTTCTGTAATGGTGTGGCCGGGAATTTCCAAAGAAGCCTATACAGATTTTTAATCATTGTTAAAAGTGGCGCCTTAAATCACTGACCTTGAAAACTAAAACTGGGCACCCGAAACAGTTTTGCAGAAGCACTTACATTTCTTAGAATTACAGAATTGCAGACGTCCTTCATTATTGTAAACATCTGTTCTCAGTTCTAATATGCGGTAAAAACAAAGACAAGTAAGCAAGAAAACAAATTTAATTTAATGTACTAATTAATAATAACACGAAAGTTAAAAGCGTGTGTGCCCCCCACGAGCCAAAATAACGTCATGTAATCGACGCGGCATCGAACTGATTAAGTTCGTAATTGATTCCTGAGGCATTGCGGTAAACTCTTCGTCAAGAGCAATTCGTAACTCCTGAAGGTTGTCCGGTAGGACAGGACGACGACGAATGCGTCTCTGAAGTTGGTCCCAAAGATGTTCGATAGGGTTAAGGTCCGGGCTGCACGCTGGCCACTCTATCCGTTCAATACCCACCTCATCAAGATATTCGCTAACCACACGTGCTACGTGCGGTCGCGCATTGTCATGCATTAGCATGAATCCGTCACCAATAAAATGGGAATAGCGCACGACAGCTTCTTGCAGAATATCTTGGATATAACGGTGGGCATTTAGCGTGCCATTTTCAACACAGATGAGCGTCGAAATACCGAACCTCCATGGAAAGGTACTCTTTCCGAAATTGTGTAGGTCGCAAACCTTTCATTACGACGTCTCCACACTGGTTCTCGACCATCAGGTGACCGGAGACAAAATCGGGACTCGTCAGTGAAGAGCACCTTACCCCATTGTTCCATTTCCCAATTCGTATGTAGGCGCCCATATTGAAGACGTGCTCGCCGATGTCTCTGGAGCAGCCGCTGTCTTTTGGCAGGTCTTCTTGCAGTTAGATCACTTTTAGCAAGTCTTCGACGAATGGTTCTTACGTCAACCCCACGCACCATTAGAAGACGATGCCGAGTTTCTACAGCAATCGTTCTACGATTCCTCAAAGTGTTTAGCACAATAAATCGATCATCAACTGCTGTTGTTACTCGTCTTCTAGGCATCCTGAACTGTTGTTCGGGGTATACCCAACGTATGGGTAACGTACCGCTGACTTTTGCCATCTTCAATTAAACTAATAATACGCGCAACATCAGTTATTGACAACGGCATCTTTGACAACTGTCAATTTACTATTCGAAACAACTGACATACGCTACCTAGCGCGCCACCTTAGATTTTGTATGCTTGTTTGTCCTGTTTTCACAGGCGTTCGCTTTAAAACACTGCATCTTCGTTAGTAACAGAGATAATAGAGTGAATAAAAAAACAAAATGTTCAGAAAAGATTGGGTTACCGTTTGATTCCAGTTAACACCCTCTGCTGTGGTATCTGCACCCCACAGGGTATTACAAATTTCGAGAAAAAATGCTTTTCTCATTCTTGCACCCCGTATATGCTCAAATTAATATCCGAATAAAAATTTCTTTCGTAGGATTATTACAGAAGAATCAACCTTTCGATCAAAAAAGGAATCATCAAAATCGAATGAGTGGTTCGCGAGAAACCCAGCTTTGAAATTGTGGCAAAATTTTAGTGGCCGGTTTTTTTTGCCGGTCAGTTTATAAAGAAAATCTCTAAGTTTAGACTCCCAAAAATTGAAAAGTAATTAACATAATATCAGGTATGATTATCAAATCAGAATGCGTATACTGTCTTCTACACAAAAGTGAATTTTGGTCGTCGCTAAATCATATCGCTAATTAGAAAAGTGCAACAAAGCACGAACCTGTTTCCAGACGTACGTGACGCTAGGCGGTTCTTTGAAAAGCAAAATCATCTCCATAAGTATAACTGTTTTGTTAATTGTCCGATTTTAATATGTGATACCTTTTTGGAAAGGGCTCGTCCTGTAGATCATGTCATAGTAATGGCGGCGCGAAATTCTAACAATAATTGGGTGATTAAACGATTAAAACCGTTATAAATAATTATATTCTTAGTCCTTTAAACATTGTTAGTAACTGTCCCACTTTTAAAATAAGTAAAAACACAGTATATTAATAAAATACTATAATTCATTATTATTAACGACAAGTCAACTGTATATTATATAATTTTTCTGTAAAGATAATAAGTATCTAAAACTCGCTACAACAATTATTTACAAAATGAGATCAATTAAACAAAATTGTATAAGTAATCAACTACTAAAATCTAATTTAATTGTAGTTACATTTAGTTGCTACATTAAATTGTATATAAAAATTGATGGCACGTTTTTATTGTACCGTATAGGGCCGTTACCCTCAATCAAATAGAAAGATAGTCATTCAAAAAATCAATAAAGTATGTAAAAATAGAAGGATTGGTAACATTTTTAGATCCTAAAAATGTTTCATTTTTGCAATAATTAATATTAAAATTCAAAATCCCCTGTATAACAGCTTTGGTGACGTTTACGAGGTTTTCACTTACGATCAAGAAGATCAGACAAAACGTGAATCGTTCGGATCTCTTCTTCTAGCGCATAAGATTCTCGTGGCATCTCGGTCATGCACCTTTTATTGATTTTTATTTCAACCAACCGCGTGCGAAACGACGGTGACGTATCCAAAGTTTTTTCAAATTTTCATTATTTTTTTTTTTTTGAAAAACTAAGGCCCAGTTTGAAAAATAAAAAGTTAAAAGAAGTCTTCAATTTTGCTAAACTATCGAATAAGCCAATAGAAAAAAGAATGTGTAACATGGTATCATGGGCCATCTAAGAGCATTGCTTGCATTTGAATTCATTATGAACCTCTTCAGCGAAATAGAGACATTTTTCCTTTAATGAGTCGGAGTTTTTTTTAATAAAGTTTCAATAATGATGTTTCTGTATGAATCTGCATTTAAGGATTTAAATGGTTTATTTGATAACATACAGTCAATCAAATGACAGACAAGAACTCCACAATTGTATCAATCTGCTTGTAAAGGATAATCTAGTTTTGGAAATTTGTTTTAAACGTTCCTGGCTGTTGTTAAAGGTCGTATTTTCATACTGTGAATTGTATGGTAATGGATCGCATTTCGCTCAACTCTCCTCTGGCACTTTGTTTAACTTTTCGTTTATTACACATCTCGTAGTAAGTTATATTTATTAGTTATTAGTTAGTTACAGACAATTAACAAAAACGTTATATTTATGGATATGATTGTTTATAACCTTTTTAATCGTTTAAATACCGTTATTGTTAGAATTTTGCGCCGCCATTACTATGATATGATCTACAGAGATCCAAATCCACGAGATCTTTCTAATGAGCTATTAATCATTAAAATCGATACACAAACAAAAAAGTTTTTTTTATGGATGGAATTTATGGGTAACTTCACACTGGTAAATTAGTTTTTGATTTAAAATTGATATTATTTTAAATAAGTAATTATTTATTTTTAATTTTAGGAACATTTAAGATTATAGCAAAAGAAAAAATGAATACATGGGGATTTTGGGCAGACTTAATGTCATGTTTCCCCATGGAAGTATTAAAATGTATCGTATACGAAGACAAAAACGATACTCGAGCGACCGTTCTATACATAAACCGTTTAATAAAACTATGGCGCATCGAAAAATGCTTATTAAATCTCGAAAAAAGATTTAACACCAACATATTTATCATACAATTTTTCCGTTACCTTTGGACATTAATTTACGCAATTTATTTCTCATATTGTTACTTACACATGGCGGTTAACGTCGAAGAGATCGAAGACATCCCCAAATACGAGATATTATTTACAGCCGTTCAGATTATAACCTTAACTGGGATTAACGCCGGACGTCAATATGATTCGATAATCTTTTTTTATTTGAACATAATTTCGTTGATTATAACGATATTGATGCAAGCACATTTTATAGCAGCTTGTACTTTGAGTAATTTAAAACATATTCAAATTCAGTATTACGTGAGAACGATTTATGAGATTTTCAAATCAAAACCCAAATACATTAAGAGGATGCGAAATTATTTTAATACCCAATGGGAAGATAACCGATGCGAAAATATATTAAAAAGCGTTAATTTAATTTATGAGTTACCGAAACATTTACGAGACGATATGTTTTTATACGTTTCAAAAGATAGAGTCGGAAATTTAAAATTATTCCAATATTTACCAAAATCGATTGTTCACGAAATGTGTTCGAGCGTTTTAAAATATAACATTTACTCCCCGAATCAATTTTTAATCAAATCGGGGGATATTTCGAGGATGGTTATTTTAGTTTATGGCGGAATAACTGAAATTGTCGATTCTTTTGGAGTTCTTCACGAATTAGATTCTCGACCTTACGCTGTTAATTTCGTTGAGGCCGCTTTAAGGGCACCATCGGCGGGGACTATAATTACGTCGACTAACGTAAAGGTGTTTTATTTTTATATCGATGAATACGAGGATGTTTTAAAGAAACATTACGATTTATGGAAAGATTATGAGGTGGCGATTAAGAAATGTGCCGATTTAAGAGGAAAGTGTCGCGAGATTTGCGACGAAGAGAGAGATATTAATGTTATTTTTAAAGAAAAAGTGAATGAGGGAAAATCTTGGCATAAATTTCCTCATAATATAGTTAAAGATTCGTATTTGGAATACGACTTTTTTATCCCCTACGATAAATTATACCCGTTTCACGGGTTAAGATATTTTTTGTTACGAACGACTTTTTTACCCGAAGGGAAATTTTTGTTTTATTGGGAATGTTTTCGGTGTTTATTTGCGTTTATTGCTTGTATAATATTTTTTTCAACTCCATTCATAACGCGGTATGGAAATTTAACGATTTTTTTGGATTTAACGTGTTTGGCCGATATTTATGTTAGATTGCACGTTTGTTATTACAACGAATATGGTGTTTTAATTTATCACCCGGTTAAGACATCGAAATATTATTTAACTCACAGTTTTGTTATTGATTGCTTAGGTTCTTTGCCGTTTGGATATTTCTCAACGTTCGACGCATTCGGGTATTTCACGTTAAATTTTCCGAGGTTGTTTCAATTGTATCGCTACGTCGGGTTTATGAAGTATTTGAGGAAAGATCCGACGAAATCATCGTATAAATTGATTGGATTTCTTTATATCCCTTTATGCTTGGTTATAATAAATTTATTGGGCGCTTTTATGGTTACGGTTACTTGTGTTAGAGAAATTGGTACGCAAATGTGTTTAGAATCGATAATGATCGCTTGCCCGAATAGAAAATGGTTTAACGACGTGTTTATTTATGTCTCTGGTATTTACGTTACAGCAACATCTTTTATGAATTTCGGAATGGGCGTTTTCGATTTGCGAAAACGCTTTCATTATTATTGTATTGCAATTATTTGCGTGGTGGGGTTGTTTTATAAAGTTATTACAGTTTCAAAACTTCTACCGTTATATTCGTTTCGCCAACAACGCCTTCTTAAATACCAAGAAGAAATGAAATCGCTAAAATTCTTTTTAAAAACAATCAACACGCATTTTATCCTCAAAAAGGCGATTTTCGATTTGTACAAATTAAAATGGGATTTTAATCGGAACCGCGATATCCATAAATTAACCGAAATCATAATCGGAACATTACGCACCGATTTAATTTACACATATTACGGTGATACTCTCTATCAAAATTGCATTTTTGATTACACAAAGAAGCGATCTTTTTACCGCAACTTTCTAAATTTGGCCAAATACGAGTGTTACCCACAAGATGGTTATATCTTAACAATAAACGATGTCTCCGACTCGATTTATGTTTTATACACGGGATCCGTTGATGTTATAGCGGCCGATGGCTCAATTATGGCTCATTTAAAGCCGGGGGGTTTTTTCGGAAATCTAAATCAAATTAATTTCGAACGAATTAAAGTTAGCGTTATTGCGATAAAACCAACAGAAATTATGCGTGTACACACAGAACAATTTTATAACCTTTTAAATCAATACCAAAAAATAAAATCGCAATTTGACGAGTTACGCTTAAAATACATTTGTTACATCCCATCGAATAAACAAGACGTTTTAAACATAATTTCAACAACGAACGTTAAGGCGAAATGGAAAAAATTAAAATCGAATAAATTTATTGATAAAATAATAACTTGGAGGTTATTATCGTTGTTTTATTGTTGTTATTTCGCGATTATTTTGGATTTGTATCAATTCGGCGCTTTAGATTACACAATTCCCATATTAACGCTTCAATATATTTCTGATTTAATTTATATCACGCGGGTTATAACGATAGGCATGTTAATTTATTTGAAAGATTTTATTATTGGAAGTTTAAAGGGGAAATTAAAAGAGAAATTAATCGAATTGAAAAATAAAATTTTCCAAAAAAAGAATACAAGCGTGATCATTTCAATGATTAGTTTAATTCCAATTGATTTATTAATTTTGTATACGATGAACAAAGAATCGCTTTTAATGCACATTCTTTTTAGTACGTTTCGATTAAACCGTTTACTTAGATTATTAAATTTGCGCGATTTTTTCCGCAAAATCAAAGCGACGGTAAACACGAATGTAAGTTTAGTGAGAATTTGTTATATCATGTCTTGGTTATCTTTGGTGTGGATGCTTTTAACATCAACTATTTCGTTAGCATCTTGTGCTGTACCATTTAGTATTTTACCTCCACTTCCGGTTTGCTCTTATCTACTTAAAATATCGTCCTGGGAGCGTTTTGAGTTATACATAAAATATTTTAGTTTAGTTTCAGATATCTTAACTTTCACAGGACAACATAATTACACCCCACAACACGCAGCGCTTTTGGCTGTGTTTATTATTGCGAAATTAATTAGTTTGTTTTTGTTGGCGATTTGTTGTTCGCAAATTTTTTGTATTGTTAAAGATTGTAGTCAAAGGAGAATTTCTTATCGAAATTTTGGTAAACGTATACAAACGTTTTTGCGTCTCGAAAATGTTTCTATCGCGCTCGTTGATCGCACGATGAGATATATTGAGTTGCTTTGGATGAGAAGTAAAGGATGTAATTATCCGGAATTGTTAAAATCGGCCCCTTTATATCTTCAAGATGCGATTTTAAACGATGCTTATCATAAATTAATCGGATTACATCCGATTTTTATTCATTGCCATAGAGATTTTATTCGACAAGTTATTCAAAAAACAAAGACTAATATTTATTTCAACGATGATTACATCCAATTTAAAGGATCGATTTCGACGAGTATGTACTTTATTTATAAAGGAAATGTAAAGGTTTTTGAAGAAACCCCAACGCACGATGTTAAGATAAAAACTTTGAACGCCGGGGAATCTTTTGGAATCGTCGAGGGGCTTTATGGAAAAAAGAAGCATTCGTATACTTTTCAAGCGGATGGAACCGTTATTGTTGTTAGCTTGGAATTTGAAAAGTGGGGATTTCTTTTGGATTTTTTTCCTGCTAGTAAAGTTCGATTGTATAGTATGGCTATGGATTATATTCCGAATGAAAAAGTGTAATTTAACAATAAAATAGTAATTTGAAAATCAAGAAATTTAAGAATTAGAATCGTTATGTTATATTAAGAAATGTTTTCTTTTAAATCAATACCAACAAATTAAATAAATTAAATTAATTTTTTAGTTTATTTTTGTTACTAATTTGTTGTATGATAATTTGAACATTGTTGTGACCATGTTAGATTTATAGAAAATTTTCCGCTCTATACAGTGGTATATAACAATAAAAGATCGGATTGTTGGTATTATTGGAGCAGCTGTGGGGTAAAAACACTGAGCAAGGGGTTGGGATAGGCTGGCATGACTTCAAGAATGAGGCCAGAATATTGTTCAAGACGGGCAGAAGGGAAAAGGGGGTGGTAAATTATGTCATGGAAGTGTCAGGGAGAGTGAGAAGGGAGATTACAAGGTTTGTGATTACAAGATATATTGGGTTGTCGTCACTGAGGATTGACGATTTCATAGACGTTTGATGTCCGAGGGTTTCGGACATCTTCAACGTTTCTGCAAATCGGAGATGGTATGTGGGTATTGTGCGGAAAAGGGCCACGAGTTTAAGAACTGTGGGAATAGGGAGAGAGAGACGGTATGTGCAAACTGCAAAGCCAGGGGGAAGGAGGACAGACACGAAACGAGGGATAGAAACTGTGGGGAATACCAGATAGCGGCGGAGTTAGTGAAGAGAAGTATTAATTATGACGACATGAAGAAAGGGCAGCAAGGGATTTTATCAAAAAACTAGACGGGGGAGGGGAGAAGCCGGAGAAGAGCGAGGGGTTGAAAATGGTGTTCTGGAATGTAGCGGGGATTACGAATAAGGGAGGGCAGTTCTGGGAATATCTGAAGAGATTTGAGGTGATTTGTATGGTGGAGACCTGGGTTGATGAAGGAGGGTGGGCAAAGATTGAGGGAAAGTTGCCAGAAGGGTATAGATGGGATTACGTGTTTGCAGAGAGGAGAAGTAAGAGGGGAAGAGCGTGCGGGGTTATTATAACAGGAATAGCGAGAAGAATTACGGAGGAGAGTAAGACGGAGGGGAGATGGAGGCAGAAGGGAATGGTAAAAAGGCAGATCAGCTGGGGGAGAGAGACGGTGCAGATAGTTACGGTGTATAGCAAGTCAATGAAAGAGACGAGAAAGCAATGGAATGAGATGGCGGGGGATGGGACGGAGGAATATATAATAATGGGAGGGGATTTTAATGCTAGAGTGGGCGAGAAGGGGGGAAGGGTGGAGATATGGGGAGAGGAGGGACGACGGCGGTCGAAGGATACTGTGCGGAATGGAGAAGGAACAGAAATGCTAAGATGGGTGGAGGAGAACGGATGGGAGATACTGAATGGAAATAAAGAGGAAGGAGAGGAAGGGGAGTATACGTACATCGGGGCGAGGAGGACATCTGTGATTGATTATGTACTGGTGGATCAGGAAATGTGGGAGAAGGTGGAAAGGTTTAAAGTGGGAGAAGCGGTAGAGTCGGATCACCAACCGTTGGAGGTGGAGGTAAAGGGGGTGGACGGCAGAAGACGAGCGGAACTGGGGAGCAAGTTCATCAGGACAGACTGGTCGGAAGAAGGGGTAGCATTCTACAGGGGAAACCTCGATACTTGGCAACAGAAGATACAATAGATCAATGGTTGGGAAGAACTTATTCAGGTAGTGCGGGAGGCAACACTGAAAAGGGAGTGTGTACGTAGGGGCGGCAGAGTAGGGAGGAACGACTGGTATGATGGCGAGTGTAGGAAGGCGAAGAGGGAGGCGAGAAGGAGGTTGAGGCAGTGGAGACGGGGTAAGATAGGGGTGGATAGATATAGGGAGGCCAGGAGAGGATACAGAGAGTTATGCAGTAGAAAGAAAACAGAACTGAGGGAGAAGGAGGCGGCAGAGATTAGAAGGATAACAAGGGAAGGGGAGGTCTGGAGGTATCTGAAAAAGAGAAAGAAGGGTAGGGAGAGGATAACCAGCGAAATACACATGACAAATTGGAAGAGTTACTTTATGGGATTATTGGGAGGGGTTGAAACGAGGCTAACGGGTTTGGGAGGCTATGAGGGAGATGGGAGAGAGGAGATAGCAGAAGAGGAGATGGAAGCAGTGCTTAGGGGATTGAAGAAGGGAAAGGCGCCAGGGGAAGATGGGATCCAGAACGAGGCATGGTTGGAAGCATCAAGGGTGGTGAGAGTGAAGTTGTTGGAGGGGATGAATAGCGTATGGAGAGGGGGTGGGTTTCCGGAGGGATGGAAAGTGGGGGTAATTTGTGCAGTTTATAAAAAGGGTAATAAGGGAAGGGTAGAGAGCTACAGAGGAATTAACCTACTAGACTCGGCATACAAGGTATACACGAAGATACTGCTGAGAAGACTGGAGGAGGGGATGGAGTTGGGGGGAATTTTTCCGGATGGGCAAAATTCCTTTCGGAAGGGAAGGGGAGCAATCGACAACGTGTACGTGTTGAAGCATCTGGCAGATAGAGAGCTGGATAAGAAGGGAGGGAAATTGTACGCCCTATTTATAGATTTGAAGGCGGCTTTTGATAAGGTGGATAGGGGAAAGTTGTGGGAGGAGATGGGGAGGAGGGGGATCACGGAACACCTAATTGCGAGAGTGAAGGAAATATACATGGAGACTATGGCTAGGATAAAAGTGGGAGATAAGCTGAGCGACGTGTTCTGGACGACGAAGGGACTGAGGCAGGGATGTCCGCTGAGCCCAAGTCTGTTTGCACTGTATACGGCGGACCTGGAGGATAGATTGGGGAAGGGGCAAATGGGAGGGTTGGTGGTGGGAGGTAGAAAGGTGCATATGTTAGCATACGCGGATGACATCGTGGTCATGGCGAGAGAAGCGGCGGAGATGAAAGATATGATAAAGACATTGGAAAGATATTTTAGGGGGAAGGGGCTGGAAGTGAATGTGGGGAAGACAAGGATGATGAAGTTTTGTAAGGGTGGGAGAAAAAGAACAGAAAACTGGAGATGGGAGGGAAAAGAGATCGAGGAGGTTAGGGAGTATACTTACTTGGGGTATGTGTTCAGGGAGGACAACAGGGAGGGGTCGCATGTGATAGCTATGGCAAAAAAGGCGAATAAGGTGATGGGACAAGTATGGGGTTGGGGGAAGAGAGTCTTTGGAAGGAATGTGGCAGCGAGGAAGATTATGTTTGAAGGTCTGGTTAGCAGTGTGATGATGTATGGAGCAGAGGTATGGGGATGGAGAGAGCAGGCAATGCTGGAGGACGTGCAAGCTAGATACTGGAGATGGGTGCTTGGGGTGGCGAGAGAAACACCGGGGTATATAGTGAGGGAAGAGGTAAAGGTGGATAAGGTCAGAGTGGAGGCGGGCAGGAGAGCAGTGAAATATGAAGAAAGAATAGAAGGGAGGCCAAACTGCGGGATCTTGGGGGAGTGTTGGAGGGAAATTAGAGAGGGAAAGATCAGATATGGGAAAGGAGACAGAGACAACTATTATAGACGAGCGGGCTACTCGGTAACTGAGATAAATAGTAGACGAAGGGTGGGTAGGGAGATGTGGAGGGAGTTGAGAGATAGGGACCGAGATGTGCAGAGACAGGAAAGAAGGACACAAATAAAAGAGGGGAGGTATAACGAAAGGTACAGGGACATAATAACGGAGGGGCTGCCTAGATACTTGTTATTGGAAGGAGATGAGGAAGGGAAGAAGTTGGTGGCTAGGTTCCGTTGTGGAAACGAGGAGAGAGCTAACAGATACTGGATGGCCGATGAGGAGAGGTGGTGTAGGCTATGCAGGGAGGAATGGGAAACGTTGGAACATATGTTGAATGGGTGCAGTGAGTTGAGGGAGGAGGAGTTGGACCGAGGGCAGATCTTAGGAGAGGGGGGAGATGGGAAACGATGGATGAGAATGGTTGTGGGGGTAAGGAGACAAAGGGAAGGATGAGGGGATGATTGGGCCGAGGAGCCGAGGGTATGGAAATGGCGGAAGAGGGTAGAGAGTGAAAATAATATACTAATAATATATATATTAGAATGTATTAAGGGGATAAAACTTGTAAATATTAAAAACAATAAAATGCTTATTATTATTAAGATCGGATTGTTGCACAAGCATTTTTCTCCCCAAAAACTGTACAAACCGCGTATAATTACCGTATGTAAATGTTTACAGTGTCATAACTTTCTTATATGATATGAACAAATCTCCGTGACCGCATTGAATCTATGGGAAATTTTCCGCTGTATGCTATGGTATATAACTTTAGTATATCACATGGTTGCACAAGCATATATCCCCCAAAAATTGCAAAAATCGCGTATAATTTATATCACTTAACATCATGGTTTGCCGATTAATATTAAAAAGATGAAAAAATTATTTTGAAACTAAAATAGTAATTTGAAAATAAAAAAAATATGTTAGAATGAGGATCGTTACGGTTGTGTTATGAAATGTTTTGAAAGAAAGTGAGAAGAGGAGAGGAGATTCTATGACCTGAGGACTCGAGGTTCACATGCCATTTACTTCGAAAGTTCATTCCTTATAAATACTTACCTGATGCCTATAAATACTTAGGACTTGGTTGATTTATTTAGTAAATGTTACAAATCTTCCATAAAAAACGTTTTTAATTTAAAGCATTTATGAATTAATTAACTTTCAAAATGACAATAGATTTTAATACCGTAACAAACGATTATATAATTTTGTTCCATTGAAAATTTGACATTCAATCAACCATTATTCATTCAAAAAAAAAATAATTTATGACTTTAACCATAATACCTGGAGAATTTATTATTGTAATTAATATAAATGAGGAATTAAGCAAAGATAATTATTTAACGGCTCTTTCAATAAACAATAAAAATGTAATATTATGATACAGTTTTCTCGGGCTCCGTCATATAATGTTACAGGACGGTTATATAACCGACACGGTGTTAACTCTTGGTATTTGTAATTTATCAAGAACATTACCTTCAATCGATGACAGATTGGAACACATTAAATCTTGAGCTTAACGTATTAATTTTATGTAAAAAATGCAATGACAAAGGTGGAAAAACATTTATGATTTAATTTTTCTGATTTATACTTTCTTAACTTACGCAGTTTATAACTGAAAAATTACTAGAAATTAAATTACTACTTCGTTCTTGACATTTCTCCTCTTTTAATAATCAATAATGTTCAAAGTAACCGTGAAGATCCGGGATTGCAGTCGAATAAACTCCACCATCGTAATCCGAGAAATACGCCTTATCATATCCGCCTAAAAGATTCATAAAAAAAATTATTATAATAAAAGAAATTATTTGGTTTAAAAAGTTTTCTTTTTTAACCGAAAAGGTTAAATTAAAAAAAAATCTTGAATTTGTTGAACCAGTTTAAAAAAAAATCTTAAACCATTTAAAAAGCAACTAACCTTTTAGAAATTATTTGTTCCTGATTATTTGGAACACCACTTTAAAATAATGTGCAGTAGCTGACATTTTAGAACGGAAAAAAAATTTTATTTTGGTTATAGTCATTTTTCATTTTAAAAGCGAATCAAAGTTCAAATTAAAAAAAAAACAAGTTGTAGTTTGTAGAACAAAGGTGTGAGTCTTTAAAAGGATAAAAGTGAAATTGTTCGGGTTACATGTTAAATAAATTCTTGCATCAAACGATTGTAATCTATTCGTGTCAAAGAGTGAAGAAAATACCCGTGCTACTTGTTAATTTGTGAGATGAATTTCAATTTAAAAAGGAAAGGAAATGAAATTTTGAATAAAATGAAATATTTTTTACATAATGTCTTAAATAAAAACGAAAGAAATTTTTTGTTAATAAATTCATTAAACCAAGTATCTATTAGTTCCGTTTATTATTATTATTATTAAATTACTAACCATAATACAATGGAATTACAGGAACTCATTACTTTGTACTTTCATCAATTTTGTGGGAAATACACTTTCATTAATTACATTAAACTTTATATTTTCCCATACATTCTTTTTGCAGCGATAAACTTAAAAGATAAATTTATAAAAGTATTATTTATTCTTATTCAAATCTAAAGTAATTAATACAGAAAAACATATCATTCAATTTCTCATATGGTGAATTTCACTTAAGATGCAATATACAAGAATATATTTTTATAGAAACCAGGGCGTACCTACTTACTTTGCCCCACATAAAATGCAACATGTCAATATCATTTGATTTTATAGTAAAACCTCGACATATTATAGCTTAACAAAAACATACAACAATCTAGCGCTGAATAGCAACTAAAACTAGAACCAACACTAGCAGTAGACCTAGAACTAGAAACATTCTGGTTTAGCCAGTGTTGTTAAACACCCAGGTATTTATTTTCAAGGGTAAATTTCCTGGATATATACCTGGGGGTATTTACCCAAGATGGGTATTTAGAGGTATTTATAAAATTTAATTTAAATTGAGTTGATGGCAATTTGGCAAGCACTTCAAGAATGCAGAGTCGATTATCGATATACCAAACTTATTTATAACATCTACAAGAATACTACAATGACGGTAAAATTGCATGAAAGTACTGAAGAGAGTAAAAGTAGTAAAATACTGATTGTGAGTAAAACAAGGCGAGACACTGTTGAACCCAAATTGTTCCTCACAGTCCTCAGAGTGCATTTAAACAACTGGATTGTACCCAAAAAGACATAAACATTGATTGCAAATGTTTAAGTAATTTGCGCTACGGGGACGTTATAGTTCTTATATCAAATAGCCTTGGAGAGATTAAACTAATTTTGAACGACTTAAGGAGATGTGTGCAAGAGTCGGGTTAAATATCAATGAGAAGAAATCAAAATTTATGATAAATCTTGTTTCCAACTCTAACATCAACAAATAATGAGATTGAGAGGGCTGACAGTTATGAATATCTTGGCTATGAGGTTCGTTTATCGATATATTAAACAGAAGGATCACACTCGTATGGACAGCCTACAGGAAACTTAGAGACATCTTCAAGAGAAAAGGCTTTCAATCAATGCGTGTTTCCGGTTATGACATAAGGCTCCGAAACTTTAACATTAACGGTAGCCACTGCCAGGAGGGTCCAAGGTAGCGCAAAGATAAATGGAGAGGTCGATCCTGGGTCTAACTCTGAGGGACTACATACGAAATGAATACCTATGAAGAAGAAGTGGCGTAAATGATGTGGTCAACATTATGACAAAGCTTAAGTGGAACTGGGCGGGTCATGTCGCGCGAATGAAGAATGAGCAGTGGACAAAAAGGTTGCTTAAGTGGAGACCGCGAGTGATCAAAAGAATGACCAACAATTGGATTCAGATAGCACAGAATGCAATCGAATGGAATAGAATAGGGGAGGTCTATGTCCAACATTGGACGCAGAGGGTGTTTGATGACAATAATCATAATAACTTGATCTAATCTAAATTACGACAGATTCGTCTAATAATAATACGTCTTTGATTGTTGACAATTCCTCGTCTTCAACGTCCTCATCATCTTCCTCTTCATTTTTTTTGAATCTGATATATTTTTACTGATATACAGTGGGTATTCTTATATATATACTTTATACCCACTGTTTGGGTATTTACTCTGGGCCGGGGTAAATACCCGTATAAATACCCATTTTAAAAATACCTACCTGCCGGGTATTTACCCAGCGCCCATCACTGGGTTTAGCCGTGTTAACAGGCGGACGGCTCTTAACACAGTGACAGTGTTAGTGTAAAACTAGAACTAACACTAGACCTACAACTAGAAAGTTGTAGGTCTAGTTGAAAGTCTGATGACGCACGGCTAAAGTAATACTATAAAGTTGACTTATTAAGCTCGGAACTTGAAGGTACGAGTCCATGTGCCGAGTGTTCCTCGCCTGCCAAAAATAACTTTCCAGACTTTGATGTAAATATAGCTATAGTTTTTAAATAAATAAACGCTTTTCTATATGAACTCAGTGAAAATAACTTTTTTTTGCTGCATAATGTAATTTATACCATTTTCTTCCAATGTCCCAATAGTTACACAACAGTTTTACATTTTTTAGTCTAAAACCATAAAATTAATAGAATACGAAAAACAAGAAGAACTCAAATTTAACTTTCACCAAAGCTATTAAATTTTATTTAGCAATAGAAGCCAATAAAACTTAATATGTGGAAGTTCATAACAAATCCATACATGGACGTCAGAGGCTAAAAATTTTTAATTATTACTTATCGGAAAAAGATAAAGCAAATTTTCTTGGAATTTATGCGAAACTATGTAAGACATCATTGCAAAATTGATCATTTGCATCTTTTCTTGATGAACACTCAGTTATCGTAAACCTGAGTTACATCTCAAAACTTGTTTGGCCGAAATAAGCTACTGCTGAAAAAATCAGTCCTCTTCACAAAGGTTTTGTATAAAATAAAATTCTTCAGTATGTAAATATGCGAATGCTTTATTTTCTGAAACAATTTGGATTTTCCTGAACTAAAGAAATTTTAGTTTGAAATCCTAAGAATTCTTCTTAGATAGTACAATTTTTGACAATGATGTTTTTACCAACTAAAAATAGAGACACCATAATATTTCTGTAACGCATCAACGTTTTTACACTGTTGGAAATAATTCACGAGCACACCCTGTATAACCTGAACGCGTGTGTCTAGCGCAATAAAATTTGGTATGGAAGTAATACTAAAGTAGTGTAACTTACTCTCACATGGAGAGCGGCACAACTCTGCTAGGAGGAGAAACATTAATAGCGAGAGTATCCCCCGTGAGCTTCGCGTACCATCGCTACACGACGTGGCATGGAGTCTATAAGTCGCTGTATTGTAGCGAGAGGGATGGCCAACCATGCCACCTCAACTCGTCTCCATAGCTCCTCAACGTTAGCCGGAGGAAGCCGGATAACGTAGAAGTCTCCGACCAGTCATGTCCCAAACATGTTCGATCGGATTCAGATGCGGAAACCGAGCTAGCCATGGAAGCATTCGTATACGGTGCTCTTCCACAAAGGTCTGTACAACACGCCCGATGTGCTGTCGTACGTTGTCGTGCATGTATAGCAGACCTGGGAGCCGCCGAACGTAGGGAAGCACAACGGACCGTAGCACCTCATCTATGTATCGTTGACCCGTCATGGTCTGCTATACAGGCAGCAGACGTGTACATCCACCATATGTAATCGCACCCCATACCATAATGCTCGGTTGTCGGTGGATAGGGTGCTCTTGCACACACTGCTCGAATAGACGATCACCACGGCTCCGATGAACTAAAATTCGCGCATCACCGGTGCTCAATTCGAATCTTGATTCGTCGGAAAACAAAATGTCCCTGTACTCGGCAACCTACTAATGCCTAGTGTCGACCCACACGTGACGTATGCTGCGGTGCTCGGGTGTTACTGGAATCCGCTGTATCGCACGACGCGCGCGCAGTCACTATCAGATCACTATCTATCAAACACCGCAGTACAGTTCGCGTAGTGAGTGCGCCTTCCCCTACCGGTGGCCAAACAGCTCAAAGTTACCTTGAGGAGGACACATACGACGCTAAAGCGCTGAGCACAAGAGTGCGATCCTCGTGTGTTGGGAACGCGGCTGAAGGTACCTATGTCCTACCTCAGACCATTCTCGCCATGCCCGTTGCACTGCCGATAACGACCGCTCGAGACGATGCGCAATTTCACAGAACGATACACCCTCAATGTGCATACCCACAAACATTCCTCGCTCAAACTCGCTTAAGTAACGCGATTGCCTATCCATTGCGCACAGAGTACGATAACAACGTGGTCCCTCACAACACACTAAAAACAACTGGTATTTTCCATCCACTTCGGTCTCCATAGCGACGGAATGTTCTACTTGGAAAGGCGGCTCAGTCAACAATGCCGCGACGGAACAACTCGAAACTCCCTGAATAAACTCGTCTACAGTAAACCTTTGTGCCCCGCAAATATTATGGATTTATCTTCACGCGTTCAGATTATATAGGGTGTGCTCGTGAATTATTTCCAACAGTGTATTTTCTTAGAACCTAGCTGCAGATGTCAGTTACTACTTTTTGGACATAAACGAAAGTATTTTCTGCATTGCTTGTTCTCAATCGTTTCTGTACTTGCTCTTTTAAAATAACATCAACCATAACAGTAAGGTAACAGTAAAGTAACAGTACACTATTGGAAGGAGGATGAGGAGAGGGGTGCAGACTATATGGGGAGAGCTGAAAATCTATAGATCATCTGCTGGTGGAGTATAATGAGTTGAGGGAGTAGATGATGAACTGGAGGCAGGTGCTGGAGAGAAGGCTGACAGGAAGAGATTGAGAAACTAATTAAAACCTTAGTTCCACCCGAGTTCTTCTTCTATATTTATACATCTGAGAGCAAAAGTGAAAGACAGCAATATTGTTAAAAATAAAATTTACAAAAACTTTTGTTCCTATACCACAACCTAATTATTTTTTTTTTAAGTATATCACGTTTGCTTTCTTGATTTTGAAAACTAACGAGCCTGTTACGTACACATGTAAACGACGTCCCGAAGGTAGATTCGACCAGATTTACAAATGTCAGAAATAATTGGACCCGGTACGATATCTTTGCAAAATTAAAATTAAAGAACACAGTAAGCGAAACCCAATTTGGCTCAGTTTGGTCAGTTCCTCTGACTGTAAATGGATTTCAATGGTAGACAGTTTAAAAGAAAAGGTAGTAACGACTCGACATTACGAAATAATTCTTAACCCATTTATGTAGGTATAAAAAAAACGTATTGGAATCAATAAGTCTAAGAATAAGAATTGAAATTGAGAAAGATTTGTTTTGTAGAAACGAAAATTTAAATAAAAATAATAAAAATTGGAATGTGAAACGTTATGTAACAATCATCCTTTTCAAAATCCGTGTGTATAATACGCATAATAAGCGGTTTTTGCGTTAAGCCTCAATTAAAATACACTCATGGCAATAAATAAACTATCCCGGATTTGAGAAACCATAAAATCGAAAGTGTTAAAACATTAATTTTATATTTTTTTATTAGCCTTACGCACAAATATTTATTAAATTTCGTAATGTTTAGATTAATTTCTGGAAAATTTATTTTTTTTTAGATTACTTACTTATTGATGGAAACACCGCATGAACTTTTACTTCTTTTGGAAAAACGTGCTCAATTGCGATAGGTGCCACCTTTCGAACAATAGCAGGAACTACTTCTTGAACATGAATCGGTTCCTGGTGATGATGGTGAACAGTTGGTCCACTTTTCGAAACAACAGCGTTAAAACCATTTACAGGATCCGCTGTATAATCGACGGTTCGAACAGAACCATCTGGTTCTAAAAGAGAATATTGTCCTTTAACAACTCCACCTTCTCTAGTTTCCTGTTGACTTTTAACATCGCCTGTGTGGGGATCTGCTACTCCGTATTTAAAAGCATATCTTGGATGGGACTTAGAATTAAAAAAAAATAATTTAATTAATTAAAAAGATTAATTATTAAATTACTTACGTGGTAATCTATATCGTGGTGATTTGATATTTCGTTTTCTGCATAACCCGGATAGGCGAAAACACACGATATTATCGTTGTAAATATAAGCTAAAATTAAGATATTGTGAAGATAATTTTAATAAAATTACATGATGATTTAAGTACCTCTAGAAACATGGTTAAATTTTAGTTATAATGAAAGCTGAAAATGTGGTGAATTACTAAGGCGAAAGAACTGGCTCGTTTGGTTTTTATACGAAAGTTTCGTATGACAATGTGCCATTGTTTGATGAACTCCCAAAGAAATTTCGAAATTTTTCACCCACAATTCTTCGTCAAGGACGTAAAAACAAAACTCTTTAAAAAATGACATCAAAAAGAGTAATTAAAAAAAATTAATTCAATCACAAACGATGAGGAAACTTTATAACATTTAGTGAAGAAGTATCATGAACTGAGAAAGGCGATTACAAAGCAGATACCGAGTAATGTGTTTATTAGTACAAACATGAACTCGACTAGAATGCAAAATCTTTCGGCTGATTCAAACATACTTTTAGGATATGCATTACCTGTTACAAGAACACTTTTTATATAGGTATATTTGTCTTTTATTCGTCTACACATCATTTTAACCTTCCGGCGGGCGCGCTTGTGTACAAAGTACACACAATTGTGTTTAAGGGGTAGAGTGACGTAATTTCCCGGGAAATAAACCTTTCTTTAGCAGGTATTCCTTTAGAGTTAATTTGTCTTTTGAAGGCTACGGTTGAAAATTTTTTGAGAGTCTTAGAAATTACAAAAAAAAATAAATTAGTGAGATTAAGTGAGTTTGTGTACAAAATACACGTACGCGCCTGTTCGTGTTATTGTTAATTAATTAAGGTAGGTTAATATTTTGAAATCTTTATTTTTAAAACACGAAATTAACGCTGAAAACTTAGGATTTATTTAGTTAATTTTNGTTTTTGCAAATATCCTACATGGGCGCTGAGTGCGGGACGTCGGAAACACAACCAACTCAATCTAAAAAACGAGGGAGGTGTAAATTGTGTACAAATACAAATACTACACAAAAATGTTGTAAATGTAAGCAATTCATATGTAAAAAACACTCAAAAACTATGATAACTTGCTCGACTTGTGAAATGCATTCAGACTCTGACTCATAATTGATTTATTAGTTGTTCATTATGTTATTATGTTATTGTAAACACATAAAATATAACAATAAAGTGTCGTGTATTCTCTGTATTGTTTTTTTTTGTGAATTAACATGTAAATTTCCCCCAAAAGAAGAAATTTTCCTATGTGTACATTGTACACTACGCGCCTGCTCGTGTAATAAAAATAGGCGCGCCTGCCGAAAGGTTAATAATAAACTTTGCCTTTTATATTAATTCTGTTATAGAATGCGTATGTCATTAGTAGAAATTTAATTTTGACAGCTGTCGAGATATCTAAAAAAACTCAATCTAAATAAAATGTTAAAAACACCAACGGTAAGTTTTTCTTCAATATATGTAGACTGAATGTAAAATCTGGGCTAAGTGCCAAATAATTGATTTTCGCGTTAGGTTGTGAAATACGTGCAATGTACCAAATGCAATTCCGTATAAAGTGGGCTATCATTAGTTTGTTGTGGAGCTAGTTTTTAAAAAATCCGCTATGATGCGTGGTGTGCTATGAAGCACCAGCTGTTTGGTAAAAAACGGGCTATGTGTCTTGTTACTCTCTGAGTTGTTAGAGGTTATGTTTGGTGATCAGTGCTTGTGATTAGTGTTATTTTGTGGGTTTTATAAATATGGAAACAACTGATTTAACTAAAAAACGTAGGAAGAAAGGTGAAGGGAGGCTAGCACAGTTTAATAAGAATCAAAGATCCTGTGGAAGATTACCTGAAAAACAACCACCAGGCGAAGAGGTAAGTTTGTTAGTTTGCACATATTTGGAAAGTTATCTAAAGCTAGGCCCTTTGTTTGATTTTCAGGTACAATGCCAATGCCGTTATGACTGCAAAAATATCGGGCATGATCAAAAACTCAGTCTGTTCAATAAGTTTTATCAACTGGGAGATAATGTTAAACAAAATTCCTACTTAATGGGGCTGATATCTGTTTTCGGTGTTAAGCGCAGGCGCCATGGTTCATATGTGGATCCCACAGCAAGTAGACGCCAGGCATCTGTCTTTTTTACTATCCCAGATGGCAAAGGTGTTTGTAAGCAAGTTTGCAAGAAAACGTTTCTCGATGTTTTTGGTATTACAAAGCGTAGGGTCGAAACTCTCGTTAAGGCGATAAAGCGTGGGGACGTTACTTACATTGAGCGGAGGGGAAACAAAATTAGAGAGAGAAAGTATTCAGCAGAAGATGAAAGGCTCATTATTGAGCACATTGCTGCTTTGCCCAAAGAAGAGAGCCATTATACTAGGGCTAAAAGTTCAAATTTGTATTTGAGCCCAGATTTAAATTACAACAAGCTGCATGCGTCTTTCGTGGAACGTAACCCGACGACTACAGTCAAGTACGGTTACTTCAAAAAAATAGTTCGACAAAAATTCCCAAAACTTAGGTTTCATCGCCCCAGACAAGATACATGTAATACATGTGACCTTCTTCACAGTAAAATAATGAATGACTCCGTAAACAGAGTAAAAAATCGCGCCTCGCTGGAATTGCATCATCGTAAAGCGGAAAGCGCACGCACAGCTATGAAAAATGACCATCAGGAGTCTCAAACTCCTACGAGTAATATGTGTACAATGGCAATAGACTTAGAAAAAGTTCTGTCGTTACCTGCGTTAACGCATTGTCAAATGTACTATTTGCGTCAACTTTCGTGCTACAACTTATGTATACACAAGGCTGATAATAATAAAGGCTTAATGTTTTTATGGCACGAGGGTATCAGTGGTCGTGGAGGAAATGAAATCGCAAGTTGCGTCCTCAAAGGTATAAAAAGTAATATTACTCACAAGAAACAGTTTGTAATTTGGAGTGACAACTGCTGCGGACAAAATAAAAATAAAATGATTGTGTTTTTATGGATTTATCTAGTATGTAATGGCTATGCTGACGAGATCCAGCATAAGTTTGTCGTGTCAGGCCACTCATATCTTAGTTGTGACCGTGATTTTGCAATCATAGAGAAAAAAAGAAAGAAAGCCAAGTGTGAAGTGCCAATGGACCTTTGCAGAGTTATTTGCAACGCATGTGATAAGAATTCGTTTGAAACAACCATGATGCAGGAAGAGGACTTTTTCAACTTTGCCAAGCTAGCCCAACTTTATCTTAACACTACGCAGTTAGAAATATCAAAAGTAGTTTGGATTAAAGTATCAAAAGACAACCCCGGCAGAGTATGTACAAAAAAAACCTTTAGTGATCTTGAACCATGGAAGATTACGAATGTGTTCAAAAAGAATATCACAAAGAACCATATTGTAGGTATGAATCTACCTCAGCTGGAGATGGCAACGCGACTGAACAATGAAAAGAAAGCAGATTTGAAGAAAATGATACCATACCTTAAAGAAGAAAATAAACAGTTTTATAGGGAGTTAACGGCATAAAAGACACTTCAAACAGTACAATTTTTAGTTGGTCTTACTTCGGTTATTTTTTATGTTTAAGTTTGTTTATATTTTTGATTTTTTCTACAGTATCTTGTTCTTAACTCTTACTGCATTAATTAAGATAACTTGTACGTATTACTTCAATATAATACTAAACTTATAAAACATTGATTTATTATTATTATTATCTAGCCTAAAAACTCTTATTTTCCTGTTCTTTGCTGTTCTGCACAAAATTGACCCGTAGACCCTTCCCCCATCCACCTACTCCAAAAATTTGACCCCCCTTCACCAAAACACCATTCAAACAATGAAATAAAGTGTTATATTCATACAGTTCAGTCACTTCAGTTATCATTATACCGAACTTTAAACTGGTATCTTAGCCCACTTTTTACCAAAAAAGTATTGGCACATAGCCCTTTTCATAATTTCTTAAATAAAAGTTTACATACAAAATAGGCATGTTGGTATTCTTAGTTCAAATTTCATAGGTATGTACAAAGTGAAGCCCTTTACTGATGACAGGTGAAGTTAAGTTAAATATTTAAGCAGAATATGTTCCTAGGAAGTTTTTATCATTTATTTCAAAACTTCATTTTTTGCACTTAGCCCGGATTTTACATTCGGGCTACATATATATTTAAAAGATAGACCAAAAAAAATTCTTCTAAATTTGTTTAAATTTTTAGACCTCTTTAGGTAAACATGTATGCACAGTAACATTTATCCCAGATGACCTACTAATGTTCAAACGTTCAACCAACATCATGGTAAGATTTAAAAGATTTTTAACCCGCTCAAGAATGGCCTCGCAAACACACCCAAGAGGAAAATCGATTTTAGACAGCTATTATTGTTACGTTTTGGAGCACAGAAAACAATTATTACACATTTGCGTCATACATCCTTTCAGTAACTTTTAGTAATCAACATAAAAACGTTACAATTCTTTTATTAAATTATATATTTTCTAGTTTAATTTGGCAAGGAATTATGACAGTCGTATTTTACGCCCAATTCTTAATAATCCCATTAGAAGTATCCTTATTCGAATATCATTATCAACAAAGTGAAACGCAGAAACGTATGGATTTTACGATTCGGTTCGTTTTGGATATGACTTGTCTTATGGATGTTATTTTACGGTTTCGTGTTGGTTATATTGATCAAAATAAACAAGAAGTTGTTTTAGTACCAAAAAGAATTGCTTTGTGAGTTTCAATCAAGAAAGAATCTGTTGAATCTAAGAGGACTAAATACATCCCGGGAATAGGGGTACAAATTTGGCTGTTATTATAGGCTATCTCAGAAACTATAAGAGATACGAAAAAAGTAGGTGCCATGTCCCGGTCTCTTTTTTCGAGACTAACCCAATCCCGCAAACACCAAACCTCTATCTTCTTTTGTTTTTTAGTTATAGCCAAAAAGTCAAATTTTCGGGATTTCAAAAAATGCTCATATTTCGTTTATTTTTGAAATTAGAGGAATGAGGTTGATATGTTCTTAAGACACTTTTTTAAGTAGAATATACTGCCGTTGAAAAATTTTAAAAATATTTGATGATTTTTGAGATACAACACAAAGTTGTATTTTTTTAAATACAAACTTTGGCAATTATTTGATACATTATGTTCCATCATAGTATGTATGGTTATCACCATAGCAACATTAACTTTTAAATACATACATTAGTTTTAGACAGAACGAAATGAATTTTTGTTAATTATTCAATAACCATAAGAAATATACCCTACAAACTATATATATTTGTTATCAGAAGAAAATAACAAATTATTTTAAGTCATAGCCAACTATGGTTTCCATTTAAAAAAATAAAGTTACGTCTAAAATCTCGAAAATAAAAGATGGGAAAAAAATTCTACCTACGCCACTGAATTCTTCGTAAAAAGTAGCCCATATAATGTTTTATTTATAATACTCCACCTTTGATAATAAGTGAGATATTTGCGAATGTCGTTTTCGCAAAATTTTCAGTTTTTGCCGATAGGGCGAAAACAAAAGACGATAGCTGTTCGGAGTTTTCGGCATTAGCATTTTCTCGAAAAACGAGATCATGACATGTAAGCTACTTTTTTTCTATCTCTTTTAGTTTCGGAGATAGCCTATGCGGACATCGAAATTTGCCCACCCTGTACAGCTGACTGAGTCATTTTCTATAGATTCTCAACATCTCTCTTTTGTAGATTCAGTCCTTTTAGATTCCACCGTCCTTTTGTTTAAATTATAAAATATTAATTTGTTTAAATTTTTCTAATTTTAGAAAATACGCTTGTGGATTATTTATTTTTGATTTAATCTCATCATTTACCTTCGTACCACATTTAATATCAATTCATGATAAATTACGTCAACGCATAAAATATCTTGGATTATTTAAATTATTTCGCGTCTTTACATTTGCAACGTATTGTAAATACATTGGCCAATTTTTCAAAGTATCCTTTATGACACACGGGCTCTTCATGTTAATCAGCGTCTATTTACTTTTCGTGCACGTTGTAACCTGTTTAAACATCTACGTGAATACGATCAACGAAAACAAAGAACACGAACTTTACTATTGGCGTTTAGAGGAAGTGTACGATGATTATATCACGAATTACGGAAGAAGTGTTTATGCGACGTTGAAAATGATTAATTATTTAGATTATGGTTTTCATGATTTGAACAATTTTAATCGGACTTATATGATTATCGTTTGGATTATTTGTAAAATTGTTTATGTTTGGTTGATTTCTTACATTATGAAGTTTGTGATTAATCGAAAAACTTCAAGTGTTATGTACATGCAGTTATTAAGGGAATTAAAAGAGTATATGAGACATAAACAACTTCCCGCTCGATTACAAAACCGTTTGATGTCTTATTACGAATTTCATTTCCAAAAATGTTATTTCCGCGAAAGTGATGTTCTACCGTCGATGACCAAATCTTTACGCGATGAAATTAATCGTCATAAATGTATGAAACTCGTTGAGAATGTAGTACTCTTTCGCGGAATGCCTTCCGGGTTATTAATCGAGATCGCATCATGTTTGCGTCCCCAAGTTTATATGATAAATGATGTTATATTTAAATACGGTTCTAAAGGAGATTGTATGTATATTATTGCAACTGGTTGCGTTGCTGTTTATGGTCAAAAGGGTAACGAAGTTTGTCATTTAAAAGATGGACAATTTTTTGGTGAAGTTGGATTAATGGCGCGGGGAATTAGATATGCATCGATTGTTGCCGTTGAAGTGACGGAATTGTATGAATTATATCATAAAGATTTTAGAACAGCTTTAGAACCTTATCCGGCAATTTACGATCAAATGGTTAATATGGCTGAAGAAAGGAAAGAAGCGATGAAGATTATACAAATGAAAAATCTTATTAAAAAAGTTTAAAAAAATTAATTTCTCTTTATTGTATGAAGATTTTTTATTATTGATCTGATACGCAGAGGAAAAAAATGTGGCATTGTTCCTCGGAAACGTTTCGTTCTTTTAAGTCGAGGTCCAACCTCCAAAGAGGATGTTACGCAAGAACATAAACAATAGTCCAAACAATAGTAAGATAATTTTCCGACAAATGAGCAAGGTTTAGTTTCGAAAACACCCATTAACTTCTATAACACCTTTTTTTCTCAAAAATAAAACTCAAAAAGTAAAGTTTTAACTCGTTTTAATTAAAAAAAAATGCAATATATATTTCTTAAAAATCATTTATCATCATCATTTCCTCATAAACATTTTTCTTCCCCCTTCACCTTTCTCAAAATTTTTCTTCTTATTAATAATGATGGGCGCTAGGTCGAGTAACCAGGCGAGGAATTCCACTTCCATAAGGACTCAATCCCGGTCCATAAGGATAAGCTGGAGCGGCATAAGAAACGGGGGCATGACCCAAAACATTACTCGAAGTGGGTGCTGTACCCGGAGGAGCATGAACGTTAGGACCAACTTTTTTTACAACCGCATTAAATCCGTTTGCATCATCCGCTGCGTATTCAACAACTCGCAATGAACCATCTGGTTCCACTAAAGAGTACATTCCACGAACTGCGTCACCATCACGAATTTCTTGCTGAACTTTTGTATCTCCGGTTACCCCATCAGATACACCATAATTATAAGCATATTTTGGATGGGCCTAAAAATTAAATAAAAAAATTAGAAACAAACTTAATCATAAAAATCATTTAATAATTACATAATAATCAACTTCTTCAGCTGGTCGTGTTAAAACTTTTCTTGGGTAATTTGGTAATGAATAAGAAATTGGAGAAACTGGGCTCGGACCTACTTGCCCAATTGCCGATGAAATCGGAGCGTACGTTCTTGAAGGTGCGGGAAAAGTAAGTTTTCCAAATCCTAGAGGATCGTGTTGTCCAAAAGCGTAATTGAAAGGGGACACTTCAGCTTTGGAGTAGGTAATTAAAAATGTGACAAGAAGGAACATCTTAAATTAAAAAAAAAATAATTTTATCAAAACTAAATTATTTAAGAAAGCTTTATTTGAAGTGATTTAATTAAAAAAATGTTGGATATAAATAACACGTAAGAACTCTCGTGATATACCATAAAGTTTGAACGGCATTTACGTCTTTTATGGATAAAGGCCAAGTGCCATCCGATTGCACAGTTCCAATTCATTCACAACGCAGAAACGCTTCTTTTATTTATTACCAAACTAATTAGAATATATCGTAATAAGAATAACACATTTTTCTTTTTCAAAGTTAAATAATTAAAAAAAATTAATTTAATAATAAAAATTTACACTTACATTAAACAATCCCATTGTTAATAGTATGTAACCACTATTGATACTGATCCCATCCGTGTCATTATCTCTAGTATTTATACTGGACCAGACCGGCAAAAGATCAATTCACCGGGACTGGGCATCAAGGTCCCATCCTCTCGTAGCTTGTATGTTAGATATTTTTTTTAACGTTCCGTATTCCTACTTAGTACTTACCATTCTTGAGATCGGCGCTGAGAGTTTGCTAATAGTTATATTGAGAGAAGTTACGCTCGTGGGACCGTTTTAATCCGCGAGATAAACGTTTCTAATTTGAATTTTGACCAAGACAATTTCACACTTAACTGAGCGGAAACAACACATTTTGTCGGGGTTTTTATAATCGCCGTAATAAAGGAAAAAAATACAACTTTTATAAAATTTTTCGATAATAAATTAGATTTTTGTAATAATCAGAAAATTTTAACCTAATTTGATGTATCACACTCTATATCTATCATAAAATTCACTTTTAAAAATAAATGTCATGTATAATTAGTGTTTTGTTTTCGGCCATCTTGATTTTATAAAAATCATTATATCTTAGGTGTCATTATTATTATATATGTCGAGTTTGGGCTCATTTCAATTGTTTTTTAATTATCTATGTTAATATTTACGTTTTGGGCCATCTTGGATTTTATAAAATTTTAGTTAAAATTTAGTTATTTTCTCGCTTAAAGATTGGCACTAATCAGTGAAAACGTTGGGATTCACCGTGTTGACATAAAAGAATCAGTCACGTATACTAGAGTCGCGTTAAAGTTGTTATCACAAATTGTTCGTTGAAGTTGATAAATCATCGCGTGATGCATAACAAGGTTCGAGTACAATTTTAATTTTCTTTACATTTTTATGCGCACTAACAAAAATTAAATTAATTAAATAATACAACAATGCCCATATTAAAAAAGTAGACCAATATGAGTCGTTTCAATTCATATTTCACAAAAATTTAATGTGTTTGTGATTTAACTAGTTGTCATTTTGGCGCCAAAGATGTGAGACAACAAAATAAAAGAATACCATAATTTACACTTGCCAAGTAAGTAAATCATTTAGTTATTCTTATCTGTATGTTAACATAGGAGATAAAAGCGCTAAATCAGGTTAAACCATTATAATAACACGTTCTCTTAAAACTTTTTTGAGATGTTCTCAGGAACAATAATACAAATATTATGATGGGTATTGTTATAGATACTTCATATCATAATTATTGTTCTTATAGTAAGAATAAATAATCAGTGATCAAAATAGATTCATGGAAAAATGAATAATCTATTGTTTTAAAACTTTTACTATTTCCGCTGAACAAGGACGTACGAATTAATAGGAAACAAAAAAAAAATAAAAACTAAATTCTCATAATAGTGACCTTTAGCCTGAAAAAGAATCGAGGAAATTAAAATTGTTCTGCGTTAAATGTTACTGTAACGTACACACAGATACAATCACGTATCAAATTAGTACGCAGTATCTTTACTTTACAACACTTACGTAAGCATTTAGTAATGGTAATAATAATAATAAATACAAGATGTGGGGAAGAGGTGAACTTTTAGAACGATCCCGTTTCAAAGAAAATAAATGGCCTTTTTAATTGTTATTAATTGTAATTAGTGAAAAATTTAAAAACTTTTCTTTTACCTAATAGGTTATCGTTGTATAACGAGATATATATATATATATATATAATATTTTGAAACATACATATACAGAGTGTCCCGTACACCATAATTGTAAGCATATTTTGGATGGGCCTAAAACAGGTCATTTTGGTATGTTTTT